GGCCGGGACTCGGCCCCCCCGGCGAGGCGGCCGACGAGCCGCCGGCGCCCGTGGACCCCGCCGCGAGGGTGCTGCTGCTGGTGAGGGAGTACAAGCTCGAGGACGATGGCGAGGATGAGGATGATGCAGATGATGTAGATGATGATGCAGATGATGTAGATGATGATGATGATGATGATGATGATGATGATGATGTTGATGATGTAGATGATGATGATGCTGATGATGATGATGATGATGACGATGATGTAGATGATGTAGATGATGCTGATGATGCAGATGATGTAGATTATGATGATTATGATGATGATGATGATGATGATGATGATGCAGATGATGATGATGATGATGATGATGCAGATGATGATGATGATGATGATGATGATGATCATGATGATGATGATCATGATCATGATGATCATGATAATCATGATGATGATGATGATGATGATGATGATGATGATGATGATGATGGTGACGATGATCACCAGGAGGAGGAGGACGTGGGGGATGAGGATGAGGATGAGGATGATGATGGTGATGATGATGACGAGGAGGAGGAGGAGGTTGCTGCTGATTCTGATGATGGTGATGCGGGTGATGATGATGATGATCATGATGGATGGTTGATGATTGTTGGTTAAGGTGATGATGGTGATGCTGATTGTGATTATGATGGTGGCGGTGATGATGATGATGATGATGATGATGATGTTGGTGACGACGGTTATGATTATGACTGCGAGTGTGATGATGATGATGATGCTGATGATGGTGATGGTGATGATGGTTAAGGGGATGATGATGATGATGAGGATGAGGATGATGATGATGATGATGATGGTGATGGTGATGGTGATGGTGGTGATGGTTAGGGGTAGGGTGATGGTGATGATGATGGTGATGGTAAGGATGATGATTATGGTGACGACGGTTATGATTATGACTATGAGTGTGATGATGATGATGATGCTGATAACAATGATGATGGTGAGGGTGATGATGGTGATAATGATGACGGTGATGATGGTGCTGATGACGATGATGATGATGGTGATGGTGGTGGTGATCATGATGACGGTGATGATGATGACGATGAGGATGATGAGGATAGTGATGACGGTGGAGATAATGAGGGTTATGAGGAGCATGAGGATGATCAGGATAATGACGACGATGATGATGATGACGATGATGATGATGTTGATGATGATGATGATGGTGCTAATGATGTTGTTGAGGGAGTACAAGCTCGGGGATGATGACGGTGATGAGGAGGAGATGGAGGTAGGTGATGTTGATGATGAGGAGGAGAAGCAGGAGGAGGAGGAGGAGGGGGATGAGGATGTGGATGAGGATAAGGATGAGGACGAGGATCGTGGTGATGCTGATGCTCATGGTGATGATGATGCTGCTGATGCTGATGCTGATGCTGTTGCTGCTGATGATAATACTGATGGTGGTGGTAATGATGATGGTACGATCTCATGCTGATGATGGTGGTGGTAATGATGATGCTGATGCTGATGACGAGGAGGAGGAGGAGGAGGAGGAGGAACACGCCCGTGTCGGCCAGATCCCCGCCCAGGAGGCCCTCGAGGTGCTCCGGTCCGACCCGCAGCTGTGGCGGGCAGCGGACGACGAGGCCGCCGCCGCCGCCGCAGTCCTCGTTTCCGTGCTCGCTGTGCCGCTGCCGATACGCGAAGCGCCGAAAAATATGATTCACCATTGACTCCGTGTCGGACAATCCCTTCAAGGATCTCTCCTAGAGATGTTCTCAACGCCTACGTGTTCGTGCAGCCGTACTGGCTGTACGTCACAGATGCCTTGGAATTACATGGAATGGCTACGGTATCTACTATGAGCGGAATTTCACGTTCTGAGGCGAGGCGGCGTTTCTGCTGCGAGACAAATAGGAGCTGTGGTTGTCATCCCCATGTCAGCCTCTTTTCCTCCTGCGCCTCTCTCTGAATTCCCGTGTGCGCCGCCATAACGGCTCACAAGCGCCCTTGAGTCATCTCGGCGCGCAAGCGACGGGCGCGCCCTGGCCCTTGTGAAAGGAAAGAGAGCGTGCTCTCTCACAGCACGGGGCCCCATAATTGTACCTCGTGTCTCCCTGCATTCCATACAGTTGCCCCCGTACATTCCACAGTCCTCGTCCTCGCTGTGCCGCTGCCGATCCGCCAAGCGCCGAAAAATATGGCAGAGGAGGGCCCGTCGACGCAACGGCGGCCCCTCTTTGGGTGTGTGCGTCATCAGTGGGGCCTCCTGGATCCGCATGGGAAACATGTCAGGATGGACCCCCGCGCGTGTGGAAGACGATCAATGGAGATGCAGCGTGTTGCCAAATACGTCCCAGATGTCTACAACATGTTAAACATGTCTTAAAATTTAAAAAGCAGGCGTCGCACATATTTGTAGCATTTTCCAGCATTTTAAGCACACCGCTTTAAATTTCAACGATCGCATTGTGAGGGCGTCCAATTTCATGGTATCCGCATTCCTTCTTCGAGAAGTAACGACCGCTTTGGGCTCAGGATTAAGTCGGGCACGTCCGTTTACAGGAGGAATGCTCAAACATAAACACATCTGGGGATTTCTGTTTCAAATGAAAGCCTGACTATTCTTAGAGATTCGACTTGCAGGACGTTCCCCTGACCTGGGGCCGGGGAACCCCTTCCGGGCGTCCAAACATATGCACACATACATGCGCCCTTGCGGCTACGCTGTGGATCGTGGCGAAGTGCTTCTGAAGGTGCTCGTCGTCATCGACGCCCGGGCCCCTCACGGGGGCGCCCAGCCGCCCCCGAGAAGGGCCCGTCCCCCAGGCACTGTGTGGGGGCCATGAGCGGGGCTGCCAGGGAGAAGTGATGGTGGGCCTATGTTCCACCACCACCAGAAGTTGGAGGGGGAGGGGGTCCTCCTATCTATCGCTATCGCTATCGGCTCGATGTCCTGTCGGACGCAGCCGTCCCGAGGGGGGGGCCACCTCCTCCCCCCCTCTCAGAAGAGGTACTCCCTGTGGGAGCCGAACACGATGATCTTGCCCCCCTCGGTGGCCGCCAGCCTCCTCCACCTAAGGAAGGCGGCACGCTCACCACCCGAGGGGGCGACGGCGATGATGAACTCGCCGTTCAGGTGGGCGCCCTCCAGGATGAGGAAGTGGTTGTGCTGGGAGGCGCCGTGGGCGCCAGTGCGGTTGAAGAAGGCCTGCTGGTGCCCGATGCTCTGCTGGTGCCCGTTGGTGTGCTGCTGTTTCCCGCAGGTGTGCTGCTGGTTCCCGTAGGCGTGCTGCTGGTTCCGGTCGGAGCGGGGCGGAGGCTTGGCCCCCAAGTGGGCCGTCCTCCTGGTCTGGGCGGGTCGTCGTAGGGCCTACCCCCTCGCCCTGCAGGGGTGTCGTGGTTCTCGGTGTACGTGGTTTCGCCGTCGTACTCGCTGTCCGTGGCGTTGCTCTCTGTGTCGTTCTGGCTCGCTGGGTCGCTATCGTCGAGTCGGCCGTCGGAGTCCTCCCCGTGAGAGTGGTCCTGGGGCCGCTCGAGGTGGCTGCGCAGGTCGAACGAAACCCTGCGTCTCGCTGGCTGCCTCGGGTCGCCGCCTGCTGCTTCTCGCAGGCTGCCTCGCGCCGCCGCTGTACTCGTGGTGGTAGCCGTCGGAGTCCTCCTGGAAGGAGTGGTCCTGGGGCTGGTGGCGGCGTCATCCTTGGTCGCGCGCTGGCCGCGGGCGTCGTCGTGCTCGGACGCGTCGCCCTGGTCGGCCGCGGACCAGTGGGCGCTGGTTACAACACCAGCGAAAATCGCCTCGATGCGTGCTGGAATGGGGATGCCGTCGGCGGCCATGGAGACGAGAGCAGCCGCGTTGGGCGCGCAGATGCCTGCCGCCTCTAGTGCCGCGCGGGCTGCGGATCGCCACTGCGCACCCGATCTCGCCGCAGCTCCGATGACCTCAGCTGCCACGGCAATCTTCTCACGCGCCTGGGTGCCGCCAATGCGCTGATTCGTCAGCTGCAACTTCGTCGTGCTGCAGCTGATGGTGTGCTCTCGCACGGCCCGAAGCAAGTCCTCTTCCACTGCCGTCTCTTCTCGCACAGCGCCTGTACCTGATGGCGTAGTGATGTTGCCGCTCTTGCCCGCTGCCACTGCCGCTGCCGTGCCCCTCGTTTCACATTTGCCCTGACCCCTGAATCGTAGATGATCACATCGGGCTCTATCTTCGCCTTCCTTCGTCTCGCACGTGTTGGCTGGGTCCTCGGCTAGGTTATTGGTGAGGGGCTCCATCCTCACCGCCTGCTTCTCACAGTGATGTGTTTGCGATGGCGTCTGGGCTCTGTCCTCCAGATGGCCTGTGTCATCGCCCTCCAGCTTCGCTGGCGCTGTTGCTGGCGCCACATCACGCGCACGGGCGGCCGCGCCTGCAGCTAATGACGACTGTACTCCATTCCTAGCGCCAATTCCCGAGGTCGCCTCAAGCTTGCCCTGATCCCTGAACCGTAGATGATCGCGTCGGGCTCTATCTTCGCCTTCCTTTCTCTCGCGCATGGCTGAGTCCACTTGGAGTGTTGACTCTTCGCCGCTGCTGCCACTGCCGTTGCTTCCTTGAGTCTTGACTCTGGACTGCTGCTGCCACTGCCGTCCCCTGCCATTGTTTCTTGATTCTTGACCGCTGCTGCCACTGCCGTTGCTTCCGCCAGCTGCCTGGGGCGACGCCCGCCCTTTCCCGCAGGGGTCGTCCGCTTCGGCGCTGTAGCTGATGTCTTCTGGCATCCAGCGCTGTCCCCAAAAAGGCTCATGATGCGCTTGTTGCCACCACTGGTGCCACGCTCGCAATTGGCACTGCAGATCGGAGATGAGTTGACGTTGAGACTGCAATTGATGGCTCGCTGCCCGCTGCGTCGCCACCTGGCGCGCTTTCCGCGCGAGGCGGACCTGTTGGGCCCAGGGGTTCTTCTGCTGTTGCTGCTGCTGCTTCACAGGCTCCACGCTCTGCGTGCCGAGCGAGGCACCATGAGCGTCCTGCCAGGGCCGTGCCACATGACGAGGCTCCATCGCGGCGCGGTCGGCAGGACCTGCGAACGCACGCGCGCGCCTGGGGCCAGCCCGCGAAGCCGCCAGCCCTGTGGCCCCGGAGGGCCGCAGGAGGGCGGCGGCGGTTTGGGCCCCCGATGGCCCTAGGGGGTCCTCCTCCTCCTCCTCCTCCTCCTCCTCCTCCTCCTCCTCCTCCTCCTCGTTCCCCCCTCCAACTTATGGTGGTGGTGGTGGAAAACAGGCCCACCAAGTGAGAGGGAGAATGACTTCTCAGATGGCCCCGGGACTCCTCGGGAGCCCCCGCGCCTTCTGCGAAGGGTTCTCTGTCCTCGGGGAGGGCCTGGAAAGCTTCTCTCAGAGGGCCAGGGCCAGGGGACTCCCAGGTCTTCTGAGAAGGCCCGCCCCTGGCGACGTCCGGGGAATGGCCAGCCCCCTCCGCGCACGGGTTTTCTACACAGGATTCCCTGAAACGAGTTTTCGTATGGCTTTGTTTGTTTCATAGAAAAAAGTTGCTCTCGCTGAGGCGCTGGCTTCACTTTCGGGCCACCGCTCGTTCCGAATCGTGCTCCCGCTGCAGCGCTGGCGTCATCATTTCCAGCGCCATGCCACGGCATGGTTTTCGGTCCTTCCAATATCTCCGAAATTTTGGACAATGCCCCCGCGAAGAAACCATCGGAAGTGATTTCACATTCGGTGTCGATTCGTTGATTTTTGGGTCGCAGAAGCTCCCCCCAACTTTTAGGCGTCGCCACGCCATGCTATGTCAGGCTCCGTGTCCGCCGAATCGTGTTCCCGCTGAAGCGTTGGCCTCATTTCCGCGCTTCGCTCGTTCCGAATCGTGCTCCCGCAGCAGCGCTGGCCATGCCACGGCATGGTTTCGGTCCTTCCAAATAGGCCCCAAAATCTGGAGAATGGCCCCCCGAAGAAACCATCGGAAGTGATTACAAATTCGGTGTCGATTCGTTGATTTTTGGGCCACGCCATGCTTATGTCATGCTACGCGTTGATTTTCAACACCATGCTATGCCATGTGATGCTATGCCATGCTACGACATCCGATGGTGCGAATAGCGAAGAGATCTACGCCATGGTGAGGGACGGGCGGGAGGGTAGAACGTCAGATATGACGCGAGCGCACCTAGCTTGTCACTGTCCCCCCTCGCTCGCCGCCGATGTGAGTTAGGTTGGTCCAAATGTTAAGTACGATGCATCTTCGGGGGACCTCGTCTGTCCCCAGAATTGGTGCCTGTTCTCGTGCCCAACGCGGGCTCGAGGCGGACTCGACGCGGATTCGACGTGAATTCGGCACGGACTCGACACGGATTCGATGTGCTCGACATGGATTCGACGCAGTTTCGTCGCAGTTCGCGGCGCGATGGGACAGACAAGGTCCCCCGAAGATGCAACATAACAGATGCAGCCCACCTCAGCATCCGCTCACGACCCCTCTATGGCAGGTTTGCGCCATCTTGACGCGGCGGCGACCCCGGCGCGGGCGTTCAAATTTGAACGCCGCCGGTGGTCCAGAATCGGCCGATGTCGAGCGAATTGTGCTATGGTAGAGCCGCGATCGTTCAAGGCTGAACGATCCACGCGGCGTCGGAAACCAACGCCCGCGGCATTGCGAGACGCGAGCCGCCGTGTCTCTTGCCCCCCCCACCCCTGGCGGCGCTGCAAGCAGGGACCGCTCGTCCAAGCAGGGCCCGCTCCTCACCACCCACACAACCACCCCAGCCCAACCCGAAGGCCTCAATGTGCCCTCCATTTCCAGTAAGGGGGGGTCGGGGAACGTTGAAAAAACACATGGAACCCGTACACCCCCAATCCGAAATCCAGGTCAAATTTTTGACGCTCCGCGTATCCCCATCAGCTCGGTCATACCGCCCTCTGGACTTCTCCTTGCGGGCCGCGAATCAAAAAAGTATCCCCATCAGCTGTTCGGCTGGAGCTTGGCGCCGTAAGGGCGACTTCTCCCTCCCGTTCCGCCGCCGGTGCCGCGCCTGCGTCCCCATTCGCTGGGATGACTGCGCCGGTCACCTCCAATGAGGGTCATTTTGTCCCTGGCATGTGCACTCGCCTCGGCGCGACCAAAAAAAGTATCCCCATCAGCCCAACCATAATTAATTGCCAGTTTTCTTGGCCTCTTGGAGGCTATCTTGAGCCATACTCGGCTAGAGGCTGTCGGAGGCTATCTTGAGCCATGCTCGGCTATCTTGGGCCATCTTGAGGCTGCCTTGAGGCCTCTTGGAGGGCTGTCGGAGGCTATCTTGAGCCATGCTTGGCTATCTTAGGCCATTTTGAAGGCCATCTTGGGCTATCTGGGGCTCTCTTGGAGCCATCCTGGACCAACAAAGGCGGGGTGGAGGGTCTTTGGGAGACGCTGGGAGGCCTTTTGGGGCCATCTTGGGCCCCATGGCTCAAAAAGAGGGGGCGCCTTATTTTGGATCCCCCCTCGGAGGCTCTCAAACGGCGTCTTGGGGCCGTCTTGGAGCGCTCTTGGGCGCCTCTTGGGCGATCTTGGGGCCGTCTTCGGCCTTCTTGGGCCCCTCTTGGGGCCCTTTTGGGCCATCATGGTGCCATCTTGAGGCTTCCAAAGCCGATCGGAAGCGAAGAGGCGAGAATGCCAAAAACATTGATTTTCCGTAGGCTTTTGAAGGGTTTTGGCATCTTGGAGGGCGCCGTGGAGGGCTCGAAGGGCACTTGGATCCGTCTTGGGGCTGTCTTGGGGCCTCTTGGGGGTATGTCGGAGGCTATATTAACCCATCTTGAAGTAACATGGGCCATCTTGGAGGCCATCTTGCGACTTTGAACGCCTCTTGGAGCAATCTTGGGCCATCTTGGTCGCTCTAAAGCCTCGCGGCGCGCCCCGTCCAGGCCCAGGGGAGGGGGTAGGGGGAGGGGCTTCAGTGGAAGAGAGAAGAACAAAAACGCGTTATACCACCTAAGCCCAGAGGGCTGGTGGGATTCGGGTCTTCGGGTTGCGTTGGGGTGGTCTGGTAGGCAGTCGGCTCCTCTTCTGAGTTCAGGTCGGTACCGACGCTTCCTGGCCGCCCGCGTCCGTGGCCCCCGCTCTCGGCGCCCCACGGCCGCCCTTGCGCCCCGACGTGAGGCTCTGTCGCAGCGTCGGCCCCCCCGGAGATCTCGACGTTGGCATGGCTCGGGCGTCTGCACTGTGCGTGGCGAGGCCAGCGCCAGAAGATCTGGACCATCCTGCAGTGGAGACCCATGCCAAGAAACACCCTGCTTGCCTCCAGGGTGCCCTGGGTTTCCTGGGTGTCGATGGTTTTGCCATGGCAAGCGTCATGTTCCCACACCAAGACTCAGTGGACGCCCTGGGGTTTCCGGGTAAGGTTTCTTGTGTAAGGTTCTTTGTGGACTGGCCTCCACTGTAGGGTGGATTTACGTTGTTTGAGGCACCTCGTCCTTCGGACCCCATCCCTCAGGACCCCAATTTCGAACCACCGGTCCGGACCATCCTGGGGCATCGTTCGGGTGTTGCTAGAAGTACCCCTGACCCAAGGTACCCCCAGGGTTCTCGGGGTGGCCCAGGCGGCCTCCAGGGCACCCCTCACGAGGCCCAGAGGGCCCCACGGGCTCCAAAGTGGAGCGAAAAGCTGGGGGTACCGTGGGCCAGGGGCACTTCTAGCAACACCCGAATCGTGGAGCAGGTGGTGGAGAAGCCAATGCGCGCACGAGACCACGCAGCTCACGGGGGAGTCCACCCGAGCGATGGCAGGCGACAGCTCTCGCTCTCTCTCTCACTGGGGCGTCGTTCTCTGGCGGTCGGCCCGGTCTGTGGGCTCGGTGCGGCCCCCCCCCCTCCCAGAGGAGGAGGAGGAGGAGGAGGAGGAGGAGGAGGAGGAGGAGGAGGAGAAGGAGGGGGAGGGGGAGGAGGGGGAGGGAGAGAAGGAGGAGGAGGAGGAGGAGGAGGAGGAGGAGGAGAAGCCCTCAGCCAGTCCCTTCGTAAATTGGCCGAGGTTGAGCTCGATAGACCGCACAAGTCATATGTCAGCAGGGTCTTGGAGACAAATCTTCCAATTTTGTTCTGCATGAGGTGTGGTTCGTACACGTCGGGACAGCCAAGGCGCCTAGCCCAGAATTGCACCAAGGTGTTTTCAGCTCAGAGGAAGCAGCTTCTGTCGGGCAGGCTTCCATGGCCCAAGGGTCAACATGTCTCCAATCCCTGGCCCCTCCACCTCCCGAATGAGGTGAGGGAGGGGAATGGTGGGTCAAATTACAGCACCTTTGAATTTTTATTTTCCTCGGAGTTTAACTGCTGGGGTACCCCCTCCTATCCCTGAAAGGCGGGTCCTGGCGCTTGCGGCTCCGTCGTCCAGGTGATGGGGGGCCACTTAGCAGTGTGACTCCCCCCCAGCAGCCCCTTCGGTCATGGATTGGAGGAGCGTAGAGAGAGCCACTGATAAGGAGGAGGAGGAGCAGGAGGAGGAGGAGGAGGACGACGAGAAGGATGAGGCCGAAGACGGCCAAACACCGCCCGCCGTGCTATGCTCACGACGCAAAATGGGGTCTGGTTCGTCCGCCGCCCCGGCCGCCATGGGGGGCGCTCTCGGCGGCGCCCAGGGCCACACCCTGATGCACTGGGCCGCGCTGTCCGGCGGCTTCGCGGGCGTGGAGTTCCTCTCCAAGGCCCACGGGCCGCGCGCCCCCCCACCGCAGGGCTCGTTTCGCGTCCTCTGGTTCGGTTCGACTTCGGTGGCCTCCGATGCCGAGTTGATTCGGCTTCGGATGCCGATTCGGGCGCCGACTCCTCGAGGGAGGCGTTGACCCTTCTGCCGATGCGGGCTCCGATTCCTCGAGGGAGGCGTCAACCCTTCTGCCGATGTGCGCCGCTTCGACACTGCCCGACGTGGCTGCCGATGTCCGCGGATCCGGTTCGTTTCGATCGCCGATCCGACCTGACTTGTCGATTCGATGCTGGGCTCTCCCGCCCCCTTCCCCCGTCGGTCGCGGGCCGCTGGTGGGCTTCCGGGAGGGGGCGGAGCGCCACGAGGCGGATCTCCGACGGTCTGGGTTTGCTGCATCTCGGCGCGGCCCCATCACATCCAAGCTCACGTCTGGCCTGTCCCTCTACAGGAGGAATATTCAAAAGTAGTCAAACCAGCCCGGCGAAGGACCCAGCCACATACAGTTGTGGGTCCCTCTTGGGCCAGGAAGCATGTGAGGGGTGTGCAAAGATGGGTGCGGCGGGCGCATGCGAACGCAGCCACTGGGGCCTTCGGGGGAGCTCCCTATGGGGCCACGAAACTTGTGAGGGATGTGCCGAAATGGATGCGGCGGGCTCATTCGAACGCAGCCACTGGGCCCCTCAGTGGAGCCTCCTGTGGGGCCACGAACCGTGTGAGGGGTGTGCCGAAAAGGGCGTGGCGGGCGCATGCGAACGTAGCCATTGGGGCCTGCGGGGGAGCTCCCAACGGGGCCACGAATCGTGTGAGGATGTACCGAAAAGAGCGCGGCGGGCGCATGGGAACGCAGTACAACTCCCAAGTACAACTCCTGAGCACAACTCCGCAGTACAACTCCTGAGCACTAGTTCGACTCTCACGTACAACTCCAGAGTACAACTCCCTAGTGCTACTGCAGTTCCCTAGTACAACTCCCGAGTACAATTCCTGAGCGCAACTCGTCGTCGTCTTTGTCGCCCTGTTCCACTCCTTGTGGCGAAGATGTACAGGGGAATCGATGTGCTGATTTACGAAGTGACCCACCCTGGGCGCCGCTGCCGACTTCGGGAAAGCCTTTTCGCTTCTTCACCCGCCTGCGATATTTCTGGACCCCGCCCCCGGCCGCTGCCAGCTTTCGGGAAGCCCGTTTGGCATTTCGACTATTCGATTTTTGGGGTGAACCTACCCTTAGCCGACGTGGCGTGGGGAAGGGTAAGTTTGGGCAGTGTCAATGTATGAATTACCCTTCCTGGGCAGCGGCCAGGCATGTCCAAACACGTGGAAGGGTCCTCACATGTGGAAGGGTCCTGACATGTGTCCACATTGGGTTGCATTTTAAGTTGCAGCCCTCCTCCAGAGCCCAGATTTGCCGGGAATGTGGGTGGTACATTATCTCGACCCTTTTGTCAAATCTTGTTTTGTCCTTGCCATCTGCCTTTCCCCGCCTTCCGCTGAAGGTCGGCGCTCCTCTGGTGATCTTGGATGATGATGACGATGATGATTGATGTCGGTACTGTGGGGAAGAAGAGGTGATGATGACGATAACGATGATGATTGAGAGGGATGCAAATATGAATGGGCGATCGAAAACAATCGAAAACCGATCGAGCCAACTGATTTGAAAAAAACGCCTTGCCGACAGCCAGTTTCGACGTGTCCCCTGGCGCCCCTCCTTGGCTGCGCACACATGCCTCGGGTCATGATACTCGAACCATTGTCTTGGACGCCCTCCTCTCATGAACGCCCCCGGACCCCCCGAGGCCCATGGGTTGTTCCTTGCCTTCTCTCCTCTCCTCCTCATATATTCCCTATGGGGTGTTCCTTGCCTCCTCTCCTCTCCTCTCCTCTCCATGGGTTGTTTCTTGCCTCCTCTCCCTCCCCCTCCTCTTCTTGAGTTTTTTCGCCGGCGTCTTCCGCGGGCCAGGCGCAAGCATACAACGTTTGAGGATATGCCGTGGAAAGCAAGCTAGGGAAGAAAAAACACCCGGACCCAATAATTGGCGTTTACTAAACGGCCCTGGGCGTTTATCAAAAAGCCCTGCACAGTTCGATCCCTTTTGTGGGTGCGTTTACTCAACGGCTTCGGCGACGGGGTGATCACTATGGGGGGGATTTTCTCTGCCTACCAAAAAATCCTCTTGGACACCCCCGGAGTGGCTCGCGATCCTCCCCGCCAGGTTCCCCGACCTTCCAGAGTGCTACAATATACTCCTCCAAACCTATAGACCTATATCTGGACCGCCAAAAACCTCGACAGGAGATGAGATGTCGAGGTCCTGGTGCTATTTTGTAGCCCTCCTGGGTTCTCTCGGAGGTTGATAGACCTCCTACCCTGACACGTCGATTAGTGAATTGGCCGTTTTCGGTTCGCGAGAGGGCGCCGCGGCCGTTATTTTTGCGGGTCTAGGTCCGTCGGTTTCGGCCTTAGGTCGTGTTCACCAAAGGGAGGTTTACTAGAGGGAGGTCTGTCCACCGCCGATTCCCCCCCCGCCCAGGGCCTGGCCGCCGGCTGCGCCGTGGATGCGGCGCGCCCTCCCCCGCCCGGCGCCTCTCTCGGGCTCCCCCCCCGCGGGGCGCGCGCGCGGGAGCACGCGCAGAGTCCTTCCCGAGGGCTCCAGCGGCGGTTCCGCCAGGCCCAGGCCCAGCAGTAACATGGTTCGACGACTACAAAGGGTAGGAGGAGGAGGAGGAGGGGGAGGAGGAGGAGGAGGAGGAGGAGGAGGAGGGGGAGGAGGAGGAGGGGAGGAGGAGGAGGAGGGGGAGGGGAGGAGGAGGAGGAGGAGGGAGGAGGAGGAGGAGGGGGAGGGGGAGGAGGAGGGGGAGAGGAGGAGGGAGGAGGAGGAGGAGGAGGAGGAGGAGGAGGAGGAGCGGTGTGTGGTTTGCGATCCGCACCGTTGGGGCCAGGGGGCACGACACTGACCTCGTCGGGCCTCGGGGCGCGGGAGAACTCTATCGAGGTTTCCGCGCGCCCCCTAGGGTGCCCCCCAGGGTGCCAGTTGCAAACCACACCCTTGCAAACCACACCCTTCGGCGAACCAATTGCCAAGGACCCCTTTCCTCCAGTGCCCGTTTTACTCGTGGCTTACGCGGGAGAAGGAGGAGAGAGAGGGATAATGAGAATGTGGAGGAGGATGAGAAGGAGGAGGAGGAGTCCGGGGTCGGAAGGAGAGGGTATCGGAGGAGAAGGGGGGGAGCAAGGGAGGGATTTGAGAGGGGAGTAGGAGTGGAGGAGCATAACGAGGAGGAGGATGATGAGGAGGAGGAAGAGGAGGACCAGTGTAAACCCAAGACGCCTCAACGATGTTGCACTGAGCTCTCACTTCAAGTTCTGTCTCCATAGGTCCATAAAAGAATTAGTTTTCATTGCGGGAAGTGCCCCATTGAATGACAACCGTCTGAGAATCTTCAATCGCCAAATTACCATTCCTGGAACATCAACGCCGCGAATCAACATGTTTGCTGCATCCGAACAGTGTTAAGTCGTGCTAGAAAACTATGATTGGGACTCAGATCACATAACTGTTGGGTCCTGGCAATGCTAAATCACGTTAAGACACCATCGCTTGGCGTTTACGAAGGCGGGCGCGTGGCGTAAGGCCAGAGCCACATGTTCAACAGGCATCGGCCTTCATTTTTTAGTTTGCGCAAGCGTTTGAGACGACAGTGCGCGGTGCTGAGGCGAGTGCCACATCTTGAATACGACCCGCCTTCAGTCATCGAATCTGTTGCAACTTTCTAAGACGAGTGTGCGCGGCGTGAAGGCGAGAGCCTGATTGTGAAAACGGCCCGCTCTCCATCCTTTGCCCCAGCCCCACCTTGTGTCCCCCCGACAGGGAGGCTTGATCCAGGAAGGCAAGGGATAGAGGGGGAGGGCGCGCGGACGTGCTTTTCGAGGGTGCCGGCATCGCTGACAAGAATACCCGTCGGTCGTTGAAAGCAGGAAGTGTTGTAGATCCCCAGGCCCAAATCTACGTCAAGCGCCTTCCTACTTCAAGAGTCGAGTGGTTTTCTCTCTTCCCTCCTCGTCATGGGGGGGGCGATGGCCCAGTCTACTTGCCCAACGCCTTCCTGCGTCATGCTTCTGCCCTCTTCTTCCGACCGACGTGGTGCGGTGCTGAGCATGAGCGGGCCCTGGACCGAGACCCCCGACGCAATTACGAGTCCCGACGCGACCCCCACGCGCTCCGGACCCACGCCCCGGGACCGGCGTTTCATCGCATCGCCAGCGGCACGAGAGATGTCTGAACCGTCACGGGGCGCCTGCACGCCTCGTGGCAAGCATCTGGGCGCCTGCTGTTATGAAAGCTGTGGCCGAGCAGGTGCGGCTCCATCATGGTCGAGTCCACGGGTTGCCGCTCGGGCCGAGGGGCTCTGCAGCAGCACTCGAGATGCCGCGTGGCCGAGCGGCTCGCGGCCCGCCTCGGCGGCCCGCCTCGGTTTTTCATCCCGAGTCGTGCTGTTGACGGCCCCGAGGCCTTGGTAGGGCCCCCAGAGGCCGAAAATAGCGAAAAGCCTCCCGTCGTACAGCCGAGACGGGCACCCTTCCCAAGGGGTACCCTCGCACCCCTGCCTCCTCGGTCCATCCTTGGTCCCTTTCGTTGGCCCCGCCCCGCTCGAGAAGCTTCGAAGTGGGCGTCCGAGCTTTCCCGGGAGGGGCTCCAAGGCTTCTGCATCCTGATTGCGCATCCCTGTGACACGGGCCGACTGCAGTGTTTGTTCACGACTCGAGGGGGGTCTGGGGAGGGAGGGTGCCGTAGGGGCCTTGGGCTGCGGTGGAGCTCCCGAGAGCCTCCCGTGGGCCCCGCGGCCGTCGAAGAGAAGAGGGAAGACACGTTCGACCGCACGCAGGAGTCGGCGGCTTGCGAGGGGGGGACACGAGAAGGAGAAGGCCTTCTCAGAGGGCGGTCGGACCCAGAAGCCCTCGCGCCTTCTGGGACGTTCTCTGTGCCCTCGGGGAAGGCCAAGAAAGCTCCTCAGAAGGCGGGGGGGCGTCCGAGCCTTCTGAGAGGGCCTTCTCCTCTTCACCTCCCCCCCTCGCTCGCCACCTGAAGAGTGACCCTTCGACGGCGTGGCCTGTGGTGCGGGCCCACAGGAGCCCCCGATCGCCGGGCGCGATGCGGCAGTACTGTCGGGCCGCCGAAGAAAGCGCCCTTCTCGTTGGGGAGGTGTTCCTTGTGACAGCGTTTCGGCTCATGGAACAAAGGGGCATCGTTCCTTACTCTGTGCTCCTTGTGACAGCGTTTCGACTGCAGCGTCTTGCGCGCGGGTGTCTGGTCCCCCCGTCCCCCCGCGGCCCCCCAGAGAGCCGCGCCTCAGAGGTCACCCTTACCCAGGGCAGGTCTGGCGTGTCGCCGGCACGTCCCAGGGGGAGCCCACGTGTGCAGGACACGTTGCGGTGGAGGCCCATGCCAAGGAACACCCGGCTCACCTCCAGGGTGCCCTGGGTTTCTGGGGTTCCCCTGGTTTTGCGAGGGAAAGCGCGACGTTCCCACCAAAAACCCATGGACGTCCCGGGGTTCAGGGTCGGGTTTCTTGTGGAAGGTTTCTTGTGGACGGGCTCTTACTGTACCATCGGCCCCTCAGTCCGTCTTTCAAGCCCCAATCCGCCTGCCGTTGCGGGCGCTTGGCTCGAGGCTCGAGGTGTTTGCGGAGCGCAGCCTGCGCCTTGTAGCAAGTGGAACCCGCGGGCCGGGTCCAGGACACGTTGGCAGCTCTGCCCGAGGTCAAAGGAGTGGGAGGAGGAGGAGGAGCAGCAGGAGGAGGGGGTACGAGGAGCAGGGGGAGGAGGAGGAGGAGGAGGAGGAGGAGGAGGAGGAGGAGGAGGAAGAGTGGGAGGAGGGCGTTAGCGCTTGCGGCGCATCCGACGACCCTGTACCTGGCACGGTCCGCGTAATCGCTGTTGCAAGAAAGGATGAAGGCGGCCATGACGCGTCGAGTGCGAATACAGGCGGCCTGGATTAGTAGGTCGACCCTGCCAGTTCAAGGGTATCCTTGTGTCCTGTGCCTCGCGGCACGTGCCCTCTGACACTCTTATGGCGATGTGGCCGCCACCAATGTGGCCCTCGGAAGGGTCTTGTGTCCTCTCGCGTGTCCTGTCCAATCAATGCCGACTGTACTGATGATGAGGGGGAGAGATGGCGGCGGGGGCTTTCGAGGTGGAGGCAATGGCATGTTCGTTTCCTCTGAGAGCTCGCTTAAACAATGTGCAACGTGTGGGATCATGTGGAAGTTGGCTCCAACGTTCCAAGGCCATGCAAGGCTGGAGCTCCCGAAAACGGTGACATATACACTCGGCTGCGACAGCCCCTCGGCATCGCCAAGACAAGCACTGACTACCAACGTGGGAAAGAAGGAGGAGGAAGATGAGAAGGATGAGGATGCAGGAGAACGTGGAGGGGAGGCGGATGGGGCGAGAGACGGAGGAGGAGGGGGACAGAATATGAAGTGGAAGAGGAGGACAAGGAGAAGGCTGATGCTGATGTGGAGGAGGAGGAGGAGGAGGAGGAGGAGGAGGAGGAGGAGGAGGGGGAGGGTTTGCAGGTGCAGAGGAGCCACAGAGGGAGGCAGAGGGGGTATAGCGGAGGAGTGGAGAGGAAGCAGCACGAGGAGGAGGAGCACATAGTAGAAGGGGAGCACAAGGAAGATGAAGGGGCAGGAAGGGTAAAGGATGAGAAAGACGGCGAAGGCGGAGAGTGAGGATGACGGAGGAGAAAGGGGAGAAGGCTGGAGGAGGAGGAGGAGGGAGGATGAGGACGAGGAGGAGGAAGAGAAGGAGGAGGAGGAGGAGGAGGAGGAGGAGGAAAAGGAGTAGGACGAGGAGAATGAGGAGGACGATGAGGAGGAGGCAGATGGGGAGGGGCCCCGTGGCCGCCAGGCTGCGCAGAACGGCCAGACGCCCCTGATGTGGGCCGTCATCCGCGGTCATGTGCGCCGCTTGCCCGCCCGCCCTTGTCCTGCCCACCCCCCGTCCAGTGCTCATTTCGATTCCTCCGATTCGATTCGATTTCGATGGCTTCCGATTCCGATTCGATTTGACTTGGGATTCCGATGTGGGTTCGGTTTCTTACTGCAGGCATGCTGGCCTGCCGATTTCTGCCGATTCGGCTTCTCCCGACGTGGCTGCCGATTGTCGCCGATCCGATTCATTTCGATCGCCGATCCGACTTGCCGATACGATTCTGGGCTCTCCTGCCTGGATGTTCGAGGAAGGCGCGCACATGGGTCAACCGAAGAAGAAACACGGCATGAACGTATCCTCTCGAGGCTCCGCGCGGATTGCTCGGATCGGCGCTGTAGACCCCTGGCGGCGCCTCAGGCGCTGCTCCTGGCGCGTTTCGCGCGCCAAGGAGGGGGGGCCCATGCCGGTCCAAGAAATCCGCGCGGAGCTCCGAAAGTGTATGTGTATGCCGTGCTTCGTTTCTATGATTCAAGCGCGTGTGCTAGCGCCCCTACATCACAAGGCGCGAGTGATTCTGGGGGCAGTGGAATTTGAGGAGTTGGAGTGTCCACGCACACGTAGTCTTCTAGCCTCTTCGCCTCCTGGCATCAGGAAGTTGTGCTCATGGCTGGTGGTCTCCTCGGGGGGCTAAGAATTCGGCGGGGCAGGGCTTTGCTCACGCCTGGCCCGATCTGGGTGCGGACCGCCCTGTGTCCGTATGTCCGTGTCTGTCTGTCTGTCTGTCTGTCTGTCTGTTTATCTGTCTGTCTGTCTGTCTGTCTGTCTGGCCGTCGTCTGTTTGTCCGTCCGTCCGTTTTGTTGTGCATGCCCTAGGGGGCATTGTGGCCGTGTGGGCCCTGTGGTTCTGTCGGGCATGCCCCCCCCACAGGCGGATGTTGAGAGAAAATTTCAAAATAGTCAAAACATACCCAAAAACAACAGCAAATAGTATAAACAATAGACCCCTGACTTCTTCATGAAAGAACAAATTCTTGTCGAGGGACACGCCCGACTTAACCCTGTTGGCGCTACGTGTGGGCGCCAGCTTGGCCCGCAAGATTCGCAGATGCCCGAGTGCATTGCCTTTCGCTCGTGGGCGCGAGAGTGGGTAGTGAGGCTACTGTGCTCGCTGCGGCACCGCCAGGGTCACTGCGCAGGAGCACTCCTGCAGCTTTCGCCTGGATCCTCTTCAGTGCGCCCCTGCATTCGCTGGGCGGTTCCAGTTTCCAATGCCCTTGCGTTTGCTGGGTTCCCCTGGTGCGCCCTTGCGTTCGCTGGGCTTCCCTGGTGTTCACTTTAATCGCTGGGCGGCTCCAGCAGCCCGAACTCTTGCATTCGCTGGGCTCCCGTGGTGCGCCCTTGCGTTCGCTGGGCGGCACTAGCATCTGGCCTCCCCCTGGTGCGCCCTTGCAGTCGCTGCGCGCCTGGGCGACTCAGTCATCCCAGACCGTTGCGATTTGCTGGGCTTCCCTGGTGCGCCCTCGCGCGCATGTGGGGCGGGGCGGTGCTGCTGCGATTCCGCAACCGCGACTGCCCCAGCCGTTATTCATTCTGCTCGCAGGATCCGCTCGCCCTTTTTTCCGAAGTGCGGTCAGTGTCCATGGCGGCATGGCGCCGGTCTCGCTCGCGGACGCCAAGGTCAAGTCTGAGTTCGAGGGCCTGCCTGGAGCAGCATTTGCAGGCGCAGCCGACGCAGGACGAGTGAGCTGGGCGCGGTTTGTCCATGGTGGTGGACGAAGGCCAATGTGCCGAGGACGATTCGCGCTTCTACGCCAGCCTGGCCCGTGCCCTGGCCAACCTGATCGGCAGCACCCACCCGAGTGACCACAGTGACGCGCGCATCTGCGGGGTGACCACACGAGGCAGCAAGCCACACGATTTCCCATTAGGTGCTGATGGCTGCCCGGAGGCCCGGGAGCTCTTGGAGCTCTCGCCTGCCCAAGTCGCGCGCACACTGCGCTTCCAGGGCACGTGCGTCTCCCCGACCGGCATCCCCGCGAGCGGCTGTTCGGCGGCGCGGCTGCAGCGGTCGTTCCAGCAGTGGCGAAGCGCCCCGGCTTGCTTATAGACCCACCATAGAATGTTCGAAGAACCTCTTGTGGTTTGCACGAATCGTTATGAGGGCATTCCTTGCTGGGACTGATCTGTTTTAGCTCATCGGGCTTATGTTCAAAGAACACCGCTTTTATGATTCAAATATTCTGGTCCTAGAAGCATTATTGGAATGCCGGGGCGGTCGGTCCGTGCCCAAACCGCGGGGGCGTGCGTCGACTCCGCGCGCCATGGCGATGCGTGACTTCGCGATGGAGGTGGGCCCAGCCAGAGAGGGGCGCGCCAGCATCCGCGAGGCCTTTCTCCGCGAGTTTCTCGCAGAAGCGCTGCCTTCCGAGGGGCCCGCGGGGAAGTGGGGGGCCGCCGAGCGCGCCGCCGCCGACCGGGGCCCGCGCTTCGCGGGCGGCGTCGGCGGGGGCGACTTCCAGGCGGCCCGCCAGCCCCAGCGGAGCCACGCCTTAGAAATCGACGTCGTCGCCGCGGGCGATTCCCCGGGGGGCCGCGCGCGCGCTTCTCGAGACGCGCCTCGCGCGGGCGCCCGGGGATCGGACGCCCCGCGTCGGGCCTCTCGGGCCGCGCTCTGGCGCGAGGGCCGAGGATCTGCGTCGCAGAGGCATGCCCCGTGTCCTCGGCCACCTGCTGCCAGGGGGCGACGACATTCAAGCGCGCGGTAGGTTTGCCGCTCTGAGCGGCGCCGTTCGTTGCCTTCTGGTCGATTCAGGTTCGCTCGGGCCCTCGGGACCATGGGGCCGCTGCGGGCGGGCCTCTCCCGCCCCGCGCTCGAAGGGCCCCGCGCTGCGCCAGCGCCGACAGCTCAGGCATTCAAGGGGGCGGAATCCCTCGCAGATTCCACAATTCGCGCGCGTCGCAGCGATGGGGTTGAGCGCCGGGCCACCGGGGGGCGCGCGGGGCCGGTTTAGCCCGATGCCGTGCTTTTGCTGTTATGCTTCAGCACTGCCAGGTCGTCCGAGAGCCAGGGGGTAATGGTAATTCAAGTCCCCCGTCGGAAATCTGGCGCGCGCCAGAAACTTCGCCCCCTGGGCCCCGGCCCGGAGCGCGCCAGAGGCCATTCGAGATCGAAAGATTGAGCCCTCCTGCGCCCCCCGGGGCACCCCCGGGGCGCCCCCGGAGCTTCCCCGGCGTCGCCCCCGGGCCGCCCCCAGAGGTTCCAGGCATGTTTCGCGCGGTCCCCAGACAGGGAAACCGCTGCTTCAGGGCGGCCCCAGATGGGGCCAAGACGGCCCGAGAGGTCCCAGGGGGCGCCCCGAGACGGCCACAAGAGGGCCCCCGAGAGGGCCCGACGCGGCACCCATCGCCTCGTTGCCTTTGGGGGCGCGCACACGCCCAGCACATTCGCGCGCTCTTGATTTTTATTGCGCTCAAGACTGCCCAAGAGGCCCAGGAGAGCCCCGAGACGGCCCAGGAGGCGCCCGGAACGGCCCACGACGGCCCCTAGGAGGCCCGAAGAATGCTGACGCAGGATTCACCTTACACACGTTTCGCCGCGGCTCAAGCTCGCAAGAAATCCAAGCGTCGCCCCGCAGAGCCCCCGACCGCCAAAACGCAGCGCCGCGACCGCGCTCATTGCCGCCCCGCCATAGCGGGCTGCAGCGGCGCCCCCAGAAATCACGGTTGCGAGCGACGTCGAAATTTTGCCGAGGGAATCGGCTTTTTGCAAAGCATCCGCACATACACAAATATCCATGCCTGTTTTCTTTTTGGCACCCACGACGGGCTGGGGCAACTGTTTCGACCGTCGCCCACATGAGGAAACGACAATCAAGTGAAAAAGCCCCCGCAGGCGGGAAGTCGAACCACCGTTTCCAAGACCCCGCCCCCGGGGCCCCGAAGGCCGCCGGCAGGGCCCCGGGGGCTCCCCGACAGGGCGCGGGGCGCCCAAATGAGGCCCCGAAACGGCGCCAGTAAGAGGCTTCAAAACAGCCCCCAGGAGGCTGTCCCAGAGGCCCCCCCACATGCGCGATCAGGCATTCAAGAGGGGCGCCCCCCGGGAGACTGCGCGACATTTCCTGCGCGCCTCAAATCGCAGAAGCAGGTTTGCAAATTCCGCCCCCCTCGCCACCCCCCGCCGCCCCCCTCTCCCGCCCGCCCCCGCCCATCCTCCAGACGCCCCATTGTCTTTCATAATTGCGCCCCCCGCCCCATCGACGCCCTCTTGCCTCCCGCGCCACCCCCCTTCGCTTGCGATCGCCCTTCATGTTCATCTTGCCCCCGCCTCCCCCATTCATCCAGCCTTATTCCATGCTCTTCGTGCGCGGCTTCCTCCGCCCCCACCCTCCCCACCCCGACCCCCGCTTGCCTCCTGGATCGCGGCATGGTCGGCGACTTCATTCGGCGCCCCGCCCAGTCGGCCAGCTGCCCCAGAGCGGCGCGCCGCCGCCCTTTCCGCGCCCGGCAGCGTCAGAAACTGCTTCGCTTCTCGCCGAGAGCAGCGCGGATCGCGGCGCGATCACCTCGGGGCGAGCGCGCCCCCCAGCGGCCGCGCAGCCTGCGGCGCAGAGCGCGCTCGTGGCGAAATGCTTGCAGGACTCGCCCGACCTGGAAGCGCGGTGGACGGAGCTCGCCCCCGCGGCGGCCGGATACGGCGGGCGGCATGTCCAGCCTGGAAGGGGCGGCGGCCCTGCGGCGGGGCGCGGGGGTTTCGCGTGGATTGCGCGGTCGACCATCGTCGCGCAGAAAGTTGATGCAGATCTGTCGCTGGAAGAAGCGGAGGGGCCCCTCTGACTTCCTCGGCGCGTCCGCGGCGGGGGCTCGGAACGCCTGATCCGCGCTCAGAGTCGCGCCAGCGCCGCTCGTGGAAATATTCGCGAATTTGCGCGCGCCCACGAACAATGCAGGCATGCCCGAGCGCAGCGCGCAGGTCAGTTTAGCCCCGGCGCCCCTGGAAGCCCTTGGGTCTGACCGAACGGCAAAACCAG